AAAGGAAACATTAGTGCTCTGTTGGTTGGAAAGTAAATAATATAGCCATTATAGAAAACTGCATGGTGGCTCCTCAAAAAATTAGAAATAGAACTACCACACGATCCAGCAATCCTACTTCTGGGTATATATCCAAAGGACTTGAAATCAGTATGCTGAAGAGATGTCTGCATTCCCATGTTATTGCAGCAGTAGTCACAAGATATGTAAGCAACCTAGGTATCCATCATTGGATAAATAGATAAAGAAATGTGGCATATATACACAATGTAATACCAATCAGCCTTAAAATGGGGAGAAATCCTATTGTTCGAGACAACATGGATGAACCTGGAAGAAATTACACTAATTGAAAAAAGCCAGGCATGGAAAGACAAAAACTGCGTGATATCACTTATATGTAGAACCTAAAAAAGTTGAACTCATAGAAGTAGAGAGTAGAATGATGGTTGCCAGAGTCTGGGAAGGGGTTAGATGAAGAGAGAGGAGATTTTGATCTAAGGGCACAAAGTTTCAATCAGACAAGAAGAATAAGCTTTAGTGATCTATTGCACAGAATGGTGACTATAATAAATAATGATACATTGTGTATTTCAAAATTGCTAAAAGAGTAGACTTTAAATATTTTCGCCCCCCAAAATAAGTATATAAGGTGATGAATTTGTTAATTAGCCTGATTTAATCATTCTATATTGTGAACATACATCAAAACATCACATGGTACCCCACATATACATATATAAAATTATTTGCCAATTAAAAATAAAATTTATTACTTTTAAATGCTCATTTATGAAAGTAGGAATTCCAGTGCATAAACAAATTCATCTGTCTAAAAAAACCTATTAGTAGTTTTTAAGTCTGCCTCATGTGCCTCAACTGCCTCAATAAAATAGTCAATTGCATTCTTAATAAGGAAATTTAAGTTATTATTTATATCAAGTTTCTCTTTCTTAGAGAAGAGGAAGCAGAAAGAAAGAGAAAATCCTAAACATATATATTTATGTGCATCAGGCCTTTTTCTGGCACCATCCCTTCTCCAGAGCTGTCCTTCCACTGTAGACTATTTACTTCTTCTTTCTCTGCAATTGCATAAAGCACAAAGCTCTTGTTAAAACTGTCCTCCTTCACACACAAAAAAAATGAAATACAAATTAAAATTGCATCTCTTTTCAAAGAAGGTGTTGGGAGTAGAGAACAGGTTTTTTTTTTGGCAATAGCCTTCCCAGAATTTTCTGTGCATCTCGTGCAGGGTTAATTACAGTAGGATGCAACTAGGATCAATACTTTTATTCCAACTGAGAAGAGGCAGTGTCAACANGAAATACAAATTAAAATTGCATCTCTTTTCAAAGAAGGTGTTGGGAGTAGAGAACAGGTTTTTTTTTTGGCAATAGCCTTCCCAGAATTTTCTGTGCATCTCGTGCAGGGTTACAGTAGGATGCAACTAGGATCAATACTTTTATTCCAACTGAGAAGAGGCAGTGTCAACAGGGGAGCTGGCTATAAAGAGGAAGGTGTTTCTGAATGGTGCATGGCTGCACAGTTCTATGCAAATGGGACCTCTGGTTCAGAGGACGAAGCTCACATATTTATTGTACTCCAGTTCCACAGGTAATTTCTTATTTAGCTTTTGAAAGATGAGATTTCAAACCCCACAGAGGTGTTGGTAACACAAGCATCTGGCAAAACTGATCATTTCTAATTAAATTTGTGCAATAAACTGACCAAGATCCTACCTTTTGTCCCTGCACATCTGTCATGATGTGGTCAGCTTCCCCATCTTCAATCTCCCCCATCTTCACGACACTGACTTCTATGGTGCCAACTACTTTGCCACCATCTAAAGTTCTGCAATCAGAAATAAATAACATGGAAAGGTAAGAATCTTCTCTCTCTTCAAAACATGTCCAAAACACATTTGTTTCTGAAAACCACCAACATTGATATTTACTTCATTTGTTGTAATTAAACTGCTTTAAACACAGCAAAACATGTTAATTTGTGTGAGTGTGGTTTTTAATTTCAAATGAAAATTAGCCATGAATTTGTGGGGTAAGAGTATAGACTGTCGAAACTACTTCATGAAGATGAATCCATCTGAAGGCTCTCAGGAGGAACCTCAAGGAAGAAATAGTGTGTAATGGATCAACACTGTATTTGCAACCATCAAATCTATACAATAGCATAAAGCACAGCCTGTCCATACCAACTGCAAATCCATCTGAAGGCTCTCAGGAGGAACCTCAAGGAAGAAATAGTGTGTAATGGATCAACACCGTATTTGCAACCATCAAATCTATACAATAGCATAAAGCACAGCCTGTCCATACCAACTGCATGAAATATTGTACATGTCTATCACTGAAACTATAGCTGAATAAAATCGACAAAAGTATCCCTATATTTCTCTCTAACCAGGACACTGGCTACAAAATCTGACCTTGTGCATTTTCCCTAACATCATTTCTCATTCTAAGAGACCAACTGAAGGAGATTCTTTTCTAGTAAACATAAGTTAAGGTACATGTAAAGCAGAACATAAACCTAGAGCTCATTTAGTACAACTCCTTACTTTTCAGATAAAGAAATTGAGACTCAAAAAGATGGAAAGACTTTTCCAAGTTAGAGTGGCAAACCCATGTTTCTATCTTCTTCGAGTCTTGGTTATTGCACAACTATCCCATATTTAATGATGATGGTAATTTTATTACTAAGATTTTCATCATCATTTGTTTCATCAGTATAAAAATTTTATGGTTGGCAATAATAATGAAAGCTAAAAATAAAATTAATAACATCACACTTTAAGATTCTCTAATTTCTTTTCTGGGCAAGAAAATCTACAGAATAAATAGAAATACTGTGACACATGATGATATTTTTCCCTTGAGCTTTATTGTGAAAATGGGTAGGGAGCCATCCCATAGGTATAATGTGATGCTATAATTTCTATCTAAGCTGAACTGATTGGATAACAGTGGTCATATGACAATGTTTTATTTATTAGTCATACTCTTTTATGAAATTTGTTTTTAACTTTAATCTGAATACCAATGGTGTCTTTCTTTCAATCAATTCCTACTAAATGCTATTTTATTATTAGAAAACAGATAATTACCCTGTTTTAAGGATTAAATTATGTAAGATGATTAATGTAAAATGCTCAGCCTTAAACAAGATAATTTTTTCCTCCTCCCCTTCTTCATCCTAGCAGTAGCAATGGAGCAGCAAAAACAGAAGTGCTATTGTTATTAATATATCAAATTACATTCCATTTCTTTCCAGAAATATTACTGAAATAGATATTCAAAACTACAGTAAAAGTGTATAGGATTCCGTGGCATATGCGTTTCAACAGTGATGAAATGTTCATTGGAGATAGAAAGACTAAGTAATAACAGATGATGTTATGAAGCTTACATTCCTGGCAATGCAGAGAACATAAATTTATAACTAGTTGCAAAGCAACTGAACCTTTCATAAATGCTAAAGTTGGAGAATAAGCAATGTATTATGGGAGTACACTTCTGAACTGTAATTCTATCTATTCCCTTTATAAAAGTATCTGGACATAAATATGTACAGATACATATATACATACATATATATACACCTATATACATATACACATATACATATATATATAT